ATATGATTAATAAGCAAGTTATCTACCTATTTACTTATCATGGCTTGTTGAGACAAACCTAAAGGTTATGATAAACTAAATGGGATCTTAGACCACTACAAAAAATATGATTTTTTTGAATTGATAGTAAGGGCTATTGATTTGACTAAAATAGTAGGAGCAACCAATATATAGATTTAGACCTTATCTATAGGTATTGAACAATATGACTAATACTTGTTCATAGTTTATAGGTTGCAAAAATGAGTAACAACTTGTCACTTCATAGCATACTTGATGCTAACAAACTCACAGGGCCTAATTTCAATTATTTGTATCATAATTTGAAGCTTGCCATAAAGCATGAGAAAATGCCTTATTTTTTTGATGAACCAGTTTCATTGAAACCAGATGCTAGTGCTGATGATGCAATGTGGCAGGTTTATGAAACCCATAAAGACCATGCTAATCAAGTCACATGTATTATGGTGGCTAGCATAACCTTTAAGTTGCACTTTAAAAAGTTATTTGACAAATAAGGGTGGACTGAGAGGTTTGAGACCTCTAAGAAATTGTTCTGAATAATGATGTTTGAGAGCATTTCGGTCAAAATGCATTGTCTCAAGATGATTTGTTGGATTGAGAAACTTGGACATCTGGATTTGTGATGGATTATGAGTTCAATGTTGACTTGATCTTGTCATCTCTTCCTAGTAGCTTTTCATAATTTGTAATGAACTTCAATATGCATTAGATGAAAGTAGTATTACCACAATTGATGAATATGCTTGACATTACTGAAAAATCCATTAAGAATAAAAAACTTGAGGCTTTTCTAATTTTCGCATCTAAGGCCAAGAAGAAGTCGACCAAGAAAAAGAAAAGTAAGAAGGTTGTTAAGAAAGGGGACGTAAGTAAAGCTATCAAGCCTGCTACCAACATAAAAAAGGATAAGGGTGCATGTCACCATTATGGTAAATAAGGCCATTTGAAGAGGAATTACAAGGTCTACTTGGCAAGCTTGAAGGAGAAAAAGTCTAAAAATATTTTTACTTCATATCTATTTATGATTGAGATCAATTTATCTTTTTTTGACACATTTTTTTAGGTATTGGATACCAAATGTAGTTTTTAGTTATGTAATGACATATAAAAACTAAAGAATAGTAGGTGCATGAAAAAAAGAGAGGTGTCCTTATGTTTGGAAATGATGCAAATGTTATTGCCTATACCATGAGACTTATTATTTACCTTTACTTTTTGGTTCAGTTTTAGAACTAAAGATTGTAATTATGTTCTTATTATAGCTCAAAACATCATTTTAGTTTCTTATTTAGGTATGAATTACGGATACTTATTTAATATTAAAGGCAATTTGTTATTCCATTTTTAAATGATGTATTTTATGGCATGAAAATGTATACTAGTGGCTTATATGTTCCTAGATTAAATAATGATATTCTCAATATAAATGTGAAGAAGGCTAAATTAGATAAACCGAATCAATCTTACTTATGGCATTATAGGCTTGGTTACATTAATGAAACAAGAATCACAATGTTACATAAATAAAGATATTTTAATCTTTGGATTATGAATTATATGAAACTTATGAATCATGTTTGCTTGGAAAGATAACCAAATCATCTTTTACTAGAAAATTAGAAAAAACTAGTGAGGTTCTTAGACTAATACATTCAGATGTATGTGGCCCAATAAACACAAATGCTAGAGGAGGATACTTTTATTTCATTACATTCACTTATGATCATACAAGATATGGTTATGTGTGTTTAATGAAATACAAGTTTGAATCCTTTGAAAAGTTCAAAGAATTTAAGAGGTTGAAAAAAAATTTGGTGAAAGTATTATAATACTTAGATTTGATCGAGGTGGTGAATACTTAAGCCATGATTTTCTAGGTTATTTAAAAGAAAACAAGATTCTCTCACAATGGATTCTACTTGGAACACCATAACACAATGAAATTTTTGAGAGAAGAAATAGAACCTTGTTGGACATGGTTTGATCCATGATGTGCAATTCAAATATTCCTATATCCTTCTAAGATTATGCATTTGAAATAGCCACTTACCTTCTAAATATAGTTCTATCTAAATTCGTTGAGAATACACCATATAATATGTAGAAAGGTAAAAGACCTAACTAGTCATACATAATGATTTGGGAATGTGATGCTTATGTGAAGCATGCACAAGCCAACATGCTTGGAGCTAGATCAGTTAAGTATAAATGTGTAAAATATCTATAAGAAACTATTGGTTATTATTTTTACAACTCTGAAGAACAAAAGGTATTTGTTTCTAGACATGTTGTCTTCTTGGAAAAAGAGTTTATCCTTGAAGAGAGCAATAGGAGTAAAGTAGAAGTTGAAAAAGTTCAAAAAACACAAATTGACATAAGAATGGAACTTAAGCCGAAGACTAAGGTGTCAGATGCACAATCGAAAGGTCAAAGTACATAAGAACTCTGTAGGTCAAGTAGGACTCGCTAAGCTCTTGAGAGATATAGATTTCTCTTAGATAAGGATAAGTTTATCATAGATGATGATGCTACTATCTATCAAGAAGCAACGTTCGACATTGATTCTGAGAAATCGCATAAGGCCATGAAATCAAAATGGAATCCATCAATGAAAACGAACTATGGACTTCAGTGTAACTACCTGAAGGTATAAAACCTATAGGGTACAAGTGGGTTTTCAAGAAGAAAATTGACATGGATGGCAATGTACAAATGTACAAAGCTAGGTTAGTTGCAAAAGGTTATAATAAAAAAAAAGTAGTTGATTTTGATGAAACTTTTTCACCAATAGTCATGTTAAAATCCTTTAGGATTTTGCTTGCTATTGCCGCATACCATGAATATAAGATATGGCAAATGGATATCAAAATGGCATTCTTTAATGAGAATTTGCAAGAAGATGTGTACCTGACACAACTTGAGGATTTTGAATCTAAAAAGAATATGGACATGGTGTGTAAGCTTCAAAGGTCTATCTATGGATTAAGCATGCATCAAGGAGTTGCCATATATGTTTTGATGAAGCAATTATAGAATTTGGATTCATAAAAAATGTAGATGAACCTTGTATATACAAGAAGATAAGTGTGAGTGCAATTGTTTTCATAATGCTGTACGTGGATGACATATTGCTTGTAAGAAACAATATACCTATGCTACAATCTACTAAAATTTGGTTATCAAAGAAGCTCTTCATGAAAGATTTGAGAGAAGCAACATATGAGTTTAGCATAAGGATCTATAGAGATAGATCGAAGAGGTTATTGGTCTCTCACAATTTGAATATATAGACAAAGTGCTAAAAAGGTTTAGCATGGAAGAATCCAAAAAAAGATCCTTGCCAATGTTGCATGGCATAAATCATTCTAAGGACAAGTGTCCTAAGACACAATTTGAGAAAAATAGTATGAATAAGGTTCTATAAGCTGCGACAATTGAATCTATTATGCATACAATGCTATATACAATGCCTGATATCTCATATGCTTTAAGCATAACAAGTAGATATCAGGCAAATCTGGGTGAAAGTCACTGGAAAGCCATGAAAACAATCCTTAAGTACTTGAGAAGAACTTAGGATATGTTTCTTGTCTATGGTGGAGTTGAACTCCTTGTTGAAGGCTATTGTGATGCAAGCTTTTAATCTGACAAGGATGATTGCTATATTGGCATTTTAATTATTGCATGATTACATGATATTCTTGATAGAATTTTTGTATGATCATGTTGTGTAAATAAATAAAAGGATTGGAATTGATTAATTTGCATGATAAAAACCATCTTTGATCAAGGCTTAGGTTGGATAACATATAACTAACTTGGTTTTAGGCATAATGGGATGCTAAAACCTTTCCTACATGTAACGACTCTCAAACATTAGTTCTATTGATGTAGACCAAAGCCAATTCTTTTTAGGGACCCTTAGTTTAGACTTAGGATAACCTTAAAAGGACAGAGGTGACCAATCATATCTAGATAAAAAAGATTGGTGATTCTATGATTATTATGTCTAATAGATAGATTCTCAGATTTAAACATTATGACACTAAAGTTATTTTTTGTATTTACTGAATCTAATTGTTTCACCAATATTTTCATGGTAAATCTTTTGTGAAAATATTAGTGCAATTTTCACACCAAAATAAAACATATTATTCTGTTAGTCAACACATTCCTTATGTTAGTCAACTAATTGCAGATGCCTTATCTAAGCCTTTGTCTTGAGCAAGATTTCAGTTTTTATTATCCAAAATTGGTGTCACAAATGGTGGCACATCTTGGTGGGCATATTGGAGAGTAGTTCATTCAAGTCAACGACTAGTTCAAAAGATGCACCTGATATAGCTAAACACTTGGTCACTTTGTTCAACTAATTTTTATCAGCTTGTATATATGTTTTAATCACTTCAACCTAAAGACTTATCTTCTATATTTATTTGTAATTTATATTTTAAAACTTTGTAATTATCAACATAAAGTAACTTTGTACCATAGGCACCCAATAAATGGAATCAATGGTATTCAAGGCTTTCCTCGTAATTCTATTCCACTAGTCTTGCAATTCTTTAAAGAAAACTAGTGATAATAAATGGATTTACTTGATTCCTCTAATCATAGAATAGGAATTAAAGTGAACATTTTGTTGTATTATAGCGGATTGATTTTAATCTATTATGTAATAATAGAATTAAAAAGGGGTCGGGTGTTACATATTTTTTCCCCCGAAAGGAGCCTAAAAGAGATGATCCTCCTGTACTCGGATTCTTTGGAGCCAAGCCTATTTCATTGGCATAAATAAGTACTAGATTTATTTACTGCCAGTACTATAAATTAATGTGCAGGCAGACGTACTTCAAGGACACATGACCATAATTCAAACAACCTTTTTGAATTCAAAGCTATGACCTAGCAAGGAAAAAAACAAGGCAATACAATAGTAAAAAGGATGATGAAGAAGAAATTTCAACACAGCTTTATTAGCAAGGTGGCATGTCCGGTGGTGGGGGCAGTAAACTCTCTTCGGGGCGGTCCCGTCTTTTACAATGAGAACAGTTTTCATCCCCCATGTCATGTGTCGCTCTATATGGCAATGGAGTAACCAAACTCCTACTATTAGTGCACCGTTATAAACAAATTAGTGATTAATATCAATAATAGTGATGATAGTTTTTGATGATGATGAATCCAGGTGGCTCTGCAACTTACCAGCGTTGTTTGCCTTGAATCTGAGGGTGACCCAGCCATTGATAGGTACACTCACCGTGTTTCGAAATGGGGGATCTTTGAGGTTATACTTTAAAGGATCCTTGTATATGTCAAAATTCCCGAAGCCAAATCCAACAATATAAAAGTTGTAACCATGAAGGTGAATGGGATGATCAATCCCAGCCATCAAGTTGGTTCCTTGTAGAACAATTTCCACTGTGGAGTTATAGTCCAAAAACATCACCTCCATTCCTCGTTTCGGAGTTTCTAAGTTTAACGGAGGATATTTTTCTGTGAAATTGAATATAAATGGTGGCATATTTGGAAAACTATTTCCGCATACCCCATTGGCATGCTGATAGTAAGCTTGGAGTAGAGCAGTTGATGGATCAAGGAAGCTTATGTTGTTCATGGTAGCAGCAAATCTTGTTCCATTAGGACCCGAACAAGAGTTATTATGTGGGCAGGGTAAAGAGTTAACAGAAATTGTGACAATTATTCGATTTCTGATGTTTAATGGGACATCAATTGGGTGGTTTTTACCAGCTAAGCTCTTCAGACCCTTAAAAAAAGAAAAGGCCGAAATTGTATCGTTATAGAAAGGAAGAGAAGGCAAGGAAGGAAACGATGAAGTTATGTTATTGTATTGCCCTTTGTATTGAACTATTGCTGTGGTGGTGGTGTTATCGAAAGGCACATCAAGACCAGTAGAATAAGCCCTGGCAGCCATGTAATATCGGTCCGGTTTTTGGTTGGCATACAACAAGGCATCTATGGTCTGTCCAGGAGAAATCGTAACATATTGAGTGCTAAGTGGCTTTGTGTAGCCACCATCCATACCCACAACAGTGAGATTATGTTTCTTGATGGCGAAGAAGAGAATGATATTCATAGCAGCATTTATCAAGCGGAGTAGATAAGTTTTGCCTTGATCCACGGATAGCTTGAACGTAACTGCAATTTGTAATTCATTAATTGGAAACAAATCTGAAACAAATTTGAAAATATACATCTAGCAACCATCTTTAATTTCCTACCATGAATTTGCTCTTCAATTTCATTTTAATTAATTGATGGTAAACTCAAAGTAAAGAAAAAAAAAAAAGGTTTGTACATGCAAAACAAGGCCACTACCGGCATATAGGAATAGCAGTAGAATTGGGTACTAATTAGAAGAGGTAGAGTATTGGTTTGGGTTGATATGTTCACTTGCAAGTTTGTTCTTTAACACAAGTGTTGTATCCCATCAATATTTCAATGCTGAAAAGAAGAAATTACTTGACAAATGGTACCTTTTTTGGAGCATGGATAAAGGTTACCAGGCTGACCATTGATGGTAAACGCATCAGAGACATTGGGGTCCCCTCCTGTCTCAAACAGTCGCTGGAGAAGCTGTGTTATATCTTCTTTCCACCATTCACCTATACGATCAACAGGTATTAGTATATAATTAGCTATCCTTAATTCCATTTGCTTCTATGAAGAAATTGATTTCCATCCAATTTATTTTCCCTCTTCCAGCCATCACAAAGAATTTAATACCTAATATTATGGGCACTTCTGCTTCAGGCTTGGTAAAGGGTACCTAGTTCCACTCTTTGGGCGGATGATAATAGCTCCATAAACAATAGCCCGTGACCAGTCACTGTGAGCATGCCACCATAGGGTCCCTTCCTCCCTGGAAAATATAAGCTTTTGCCTGAATCTTCCTCCCGGTTGGGTCGGGCATTGTGTGATGTATGCCGGACATCTGACCATGGATACCTAGGTTGTTGAACTCCAAGCCTGCAGAAGGAATTACTGAAATACGATGATTGGCCAGAAGAATTACTAGTGGCATTCCAGAAACTTATAAGGACATTTTTCATTATATTTTTGTTAGGCATTGAACTTACAGCTCAACTAGTCAAGAGGAATGATTTGTTTGACTAGAGACATACCAGTGAATCGTGATGTTGTGTTTCCCTTGGTTGTAAATGTTGACAAGAACTGTTTCTCCATACTGAACTTGTAAAGTTGGCCCTGGAAATTGTCCATTCTCCGTCAAAATCTTCTTTGTGCTGCAGAGTCTTGTGAATGAAGCTTCTTTCACCTGCAGATATGCATATATATAAATTTTAGAAACTAGGGCAGCTTCATTGGCAATTAACCTAGCAAAATAGAATCCGAGGATCCCAAGAGTACACATGGATTGATACGAAGCGCTTACTACAAATTCATATTCATCTATAGCTAGGGAGTAATGTTGGTCATGAAAGAGTAGAAAGCAAAGTATTTGGATAAGAAAGCTTTTCTTAGGAAAATCCATTTTGTTTTTATAGTGGCAAAACTTTGACATGAACCCTTTTCACCATACTTGCAAATAATTTTTCAAGGATTTTATATAGAACTTAGAGAGTAAGAGCATCAATCGGTGTAATTGATAAACTTTTACGTCTGTCCAAAAAGTTGGCACGCTAGATTGCTTATGACAGCCAAGAAGGACAAAAGAAGAGAAAGGCATCCATATTTTGTATCTTTTTAAGACCTCGATTAAGACTATTTTCCTTTAGCAATTAACCTTTTATGTTCATTCTTGAAATTAACTAATATCAAAGAAACTCAAAATGACCCAGAATCTAATCAGTTTCTAATTTTTTTTCTTATATTGGTTTCACAAATTCAAATCCCAAAAAAGAACATAATATCAGAGACAAAAGCTGAAATATGTTATTCATGAACAATCATGATAGACTTGGAATTAAAATGAATGTATAATATTAATTTTCCTTTGAACATCATGCTTCCTGCTCCCTTATCTACAGGATCCTCATATATCTACAAGAAAAACAAGCTTCAAAATTAAGGTGAGTAATTGAAATTTATGATGCTTGCAATAAGTGAAATTAACATTGTAATGCTCAATTACCTTGATAGATAAGATTATACCAACAAGGGTAACAGTACTCTCAAAGATTACCATAAGTTAAGCTTGTTGTGTTGCTTCAACCTTTGATGCAAACATTGTTTCTTGCTCTAAAAGTTGTATTTAGCCCAATCTAGAAGGAACGTGCCACAAATTTATTGATGATAATCAACATCATTATGGCTATTTAGAAATACTAAAACATAGATAGATAAAATGATACCTAGCTAAAGAAGAGAATTGTTAGTGTGAGTCCTACAAGCCAATCATGATTTACTATAATATAATTCATTTTCATCTCAGGTATTACACGTTGTAATTTCTTTAATCATAATTGAGGTATTTCTTTGACCTTGTAATAATGCGTTCTTAATAATTTATGCAAATAAAGCTCATAGAGCATAAAAACCTTGCAAAAAAAAATTAGAAAGAGTTATAATTATAAAATCTTTATGCATTAACTTCAAAAAATAGAAAATCTTTATGCATTAAAGCTATGTTTCTAATTTTTTTTTTTTTTTTGGTATTGTATTGTCCAGACAGAATATTGATAATGCTCAAAAGCTAGTACATGTTAAATCTCTTTATTTGCCAAATAAGCAATTGATCTCCTAGGTTGAAGTATAAAGATATTTGTGGATAACATATAGATGCGTGCTAATTTGATGGACAAGTATACTACACATGACTTGATATGAAAGTTCCATTTGAAATCTCACTCAAGTGTCAATGAAATAATTTCACGTGTCATTAGTGTAGTTAATCCCTTAACTTGTAATACTAGGTTATCTTGTGTGTGAAAAACATGTATTTAACCATGAGAAAATAATTTCATTAGAAAGAAGAATAAAGGTATGAAATACATAATTAAATATAAACGATCATATATGCAAGAAGCTTCAATATATATGAAAGCAAAATCAAGAAGCAATATTACAATTAATATTAAAATTTCTCCAAATAACAGAAAATAGCTTAATTATATTGGTTATAGAAACATAAAAAAAATGTTAGCCTTATAATACGATCAATTAAGTTTTTTTTTTGGTGTTACACAATATACATGAATGATCCATGGAAAATAATACTGTTATTTGAAAAAAAAAAAAAAGAAAATTTTTGCTAACTGGTCATTACATTAATTTTCCTTAAAAGAAAAACATATTTAGCTTTTGACGCATAATTGGATAAAAATTCTGGCAACGATACTGAGAAAAGAAATGAGTTGAAGGAAATAAATGTGGCTAAAACTTAATTTTCAATATTTTGTCCCAAGGATGTACAATATAGGATCTACCAATCTCGAAGAATATGACTTTCAGACTATAAGTTGGTTAGAAACAGGTCTTTATGGGTTTCCAGGAATAGATATTAAATTCAAATACAAGTAATACTCCTGGAAAAGAAATTTCATTAAAAACTAAATGAGGCAGTAATAATTTTGCACTGAATATATTATTACGATTTCAACTGTAAAGGAACCATTTTCGGGGATTCTTTGTATTGGGTTATGGTAGAATTATTATCATCCATCTAACCCTGATACTGCACATTGATTTTGTTTACATTGAAGAGTATTTAAAACAAATATTTGAGAAACTCCTTTTGTAACTCCAACGAGCTAATATTTAGCAATGTTGTTAATTTTATTTTAGCACTAATTGTATTAGTCAATACATTTCAATTATATCAAAATATAAAACATTTAAGGGCGATTTTTTGTATTAGATAATAATGGTTGTTTTTATTGGTTTCGGCTAGTTTCGGTAAATTTTGATGGATTATTTTCCTTTCGAAATCTTATTTTTTGTAATTTGATTCTTTGGTTTGATTTACAAAAATGTAATTACTGGTATTTTGAAGATTTCCAAAAGTGTCAAGAAGTGAAAAAATTAGAAAAATAAAAAACTCTTATCTCTTTGAGATTTTTTAAGATTTCGAAAGAAAAGTGAAAATTTTTCTCATTTGCCCTCACTTAATTGCATTTTTAGATTATATAAATAATGTTATTTACCTTAGAAAAGTAATAAATTTTTATAAATGATTGCTACTTTTTATAATACTTGCAAGTGCACATATTGTAATTATGTAATAGAGTAATGAAATAAAGTATCATCCCACAATGATTATAGAATTGAATTGTTGGGTGGATTCAAGTGCTAAAGATGACAGCTACCACAAGCCTTATATCTAAACTAAGGAAAGATTGAGTTGATTGTAAGAATAATAAATCAGGAACACATAAAGAAAACTTATGTAAGCCAAGATCTCAATATCCAATTGTCACTAGGAACCTTGGATTAAGGTCAACTAATATTAGATTCTAAGAAACAATGATTGCAACTTGAAAGAAAGAAAGATTTAAACTAACTGAAACTTGAAATGCATAAAAGAAACAATTGGCCAATGAATTTTGCATAAACTAAAAGCTTGCATGAATAAAAGAACTATGGCTGAAACTTGTAAAGAATAAAAGAACGTGAAAACCAAAAGAATACTTTAAAGATCTTGTAACCAAAAATAAAGAAAACACTAAAATAAAGAATGTTTGTCTTAAAATTAAGAAAAGATTTAGAAAACAAATTTTTTTTTTTATAATGGCTAATCTCTTACCTTAGCCTAATACAAGGAAACTAAGAAAATTAAGAAACTAAAAAATGGAGAGAAAAAGAATGGTGTGGAGTGAGATGTTGAATACAAGAGATAGCCTCCCTATTTATAGATGGAGGGTTAGGCTATGGGGGGATTGAAATTAGAAGTTTTATTTCTATCAAAACTCTACATGATAAATCTCATCTTGATCTTCAAATAGGCATGGCCGAGTAGGATTCTTCATGTGTTGGAGAGTCTAGGCCAAATATGCCACTTGGGATGCAATCATGGACATTCACCACACTTGCATGCTATTGATCTTGCAATCTTGAAAGCTTTAAGCTAAACATGGTTTATCAAGACAATGTGTTTGCTTCACATTTAAATTCTAAAAAACAAAGATAAAAAAGTCTTCTTTTAAATACAACTCTTTCAATGGTGATCAAAAGAGTCATTGTGTGATTCAAACTCTCTTGGCTGAATGCTTTATAGAGTCCTTCCTTAAATAAAAGTCTTTAATTGTCACCTGTATGTGCAATCCTCCTAGAAGTAGGAAAATTGAATACAATTAGGAGTTCTAGTGCCATTAGTATTCCTACTTCAAGTAGAATTTAAGAAACCTACCACAGTTGGATTTAGCTAAATCTTCATCTTGCTTGGCTAAACATAATTTTGTATGGGCTCTTGCATGGTTTTGCATGTAAATCACATTCGAAGTACAAAAACCTAAAAATCAAGAAAACACATATAAAAGATGCCAACTTCAAATAAATTTCAAAATTTTTCTAAAAATTGAACATGTAAATCTCTATATATTTTAGTTTTATAAATAAAATATTATAAAAATAAAAATTTTCTTAATATATTTTGAGCAAAGCTCATGTTTTAACACAATACTATTAAAATCCTTACAAAAGTTATTATTAAAAATACAATTTTGGTTGAAAAGATGAACGAATTGTTTTTCATAATTTAACAAAGATGACATTTTTAAAATAAAAATGTGATTTTTGTTAAAAACATGAAAAAAATTTATTTGTTAGAATTTAACAAAAAAAAAGTTTTTAAAATAAAAAACATAGTTTTTTTGTTGTAAATATGACATTTCTAAGATAAAAACACAATTTTTGTTGTAAACATGAAAATAATATTTTTCAAAATTCAACAAAAAAGATGTTTCTAAAATAGAAAACGTAATCTTTATTGAAAAGATGATATTTTTAATATAGAAAAAATTGTTTTTGTTGAAAAATAAAAAACATATTTTTTAGAATTCAACAAAGACAACGTTTCTAAGATATAAAATGTAGCCTTTATTGAAAACATGAAAAAAATATAGTTTTTAAATTTTAATAAAGATGACGTATCTAAGATTAAAACATAATTTTTGTTAAAAATATGGCTTTTCTAAGATATAAAAATGCAATTTTTGTTGAAAATATGAAAAATATAATTTTTAGAATTTGATAGTAACGACGTTTCTAAAATAAAAAAAATAGTATTTATTGAAAAGACAATGTTTCTAAGGTAAAAATGTAGTTTTTATTGAAAATATGAAAATATAAATTTTCAGAATTCAATAAAGATGACATTTCTAAGATAAAAAATAGTTTTTGTTGAAAACATGAAAAGTATATTTTTCAAAATTCAATAAAAAATACATTTCTAAGATAAAAGGGTAATTTTTATTGAAAAAATGATTTTTCTAAGATAAAAAAATACAGTTTTTGTTGAAAATATAAAACAAAATAAAACGTAAAATATCTTTATTTAATATTATTACATATAAAATCTAAAATACATATACTTAATATTATTACATATAAAATTTTAATTACTGTCAATTTGCATGTTTTCTCTATTTAAAAACAATGACGTTAGGATAGTAATTAAAATTGTAAGATTATATTTGTTGAAAATATAAAAATTTATTTTTATAAATTATTTAGTGTTAATGAATAAAACGTTTATTCACGTACCATGTGTTATTCACATATCAATATTATGAATATCACGTATTATTCACATGTTATTAAAGACAATATAGTAAAAAACTTTATTAGTTAATCTTATATTCCCTAAGTATAAAAAACATAAGAATCATGCATTCCTATTTAATATCACTTTTCCCTTAAATTACTTTCCTTCCCAGAATTTAAAATTCTATAAAACAAATGCTCCCTCAATATGTTTGGTTAGTTTAAAAATGCTGTTAAAATTTTACCCTTCGTAATTTATTATCCAAATTATTAATTAAAAAATTGAATAAAATAATAATAATAATAAATTAATATAATAATTAAATATTATTAATTAATATGAAAGATTAATTTTTCAACTAATTTTTTAAAATTAAACATTATTTAAATCATATTAAATATTAATTCATAATATTTTATATTAATTTAATAATATTTTATATTAATTTAATATTATTAAATACTTATTTAATAATATTAACTATT